TTGATATTTGTCAAGAGTTTGTCATCATTTCAAACAATTTACATCAAAATTATAATAAAGTCAACGAAACTTACGTTTAGTTAAGAGCCGAAGAGACAAATCAAACAAAAATCTGTTTAACAAATAAGACAAGCGATTAAAACATGAAATCCGATAAAAATCATTAAAATAATTGGTTTAAAAATCAGGTGAAGAAAAATAATCACAAAACGGCGGGATATTTAACATATCTTACACTCATTTGTCCCTATCTTTGTTGTCATCATTTCATAAAACCAAATAACAATTTTAAAAAATAACTCACTTTTTAAGCGAAATAAATTGCAACCAAAACAACGACAGATATCCTGATAACAGAAAAGAAAGCCATTTATTAATATTAATTAAAACAAAACATTAAAATTAATGGCTTATAAATGTCAGGTGAAGAAAAGTAATCACAAAACGGCGGGATATTTAACATATCTTACACAATCATTTGTCCCTATCTTTGTTTGTCATCATTTAATTCATAAAAGCAATCAAACCATGGATTAAACTCTTACCTATAAATAGTAGATTCAGTCACACAAAGACATCAAATCAAATACTGAAAAGTGAAATCAAAAACCAAAACTTTATAACAATGTTTGCAAAGCAATAAAACATCAAAATTAAAGTAATATTTCAGTTAATTAATGGAACGGTTGATGTATTTTCATGTGCTGTTCAACTGGCAAAATATATCATCACTTCTAATCATAATCAAGTGATTGGTTCAACAATAGTCTCCAAACTTACTTCTTATCACAAGTTCACTCATCTATAAAAATACCACAAAAATATAACAATTAAAACATCAATTATTACATATTATAAACATTTAATCATTTGTTTAATTGTCAGTATTTATTATTGCCTTTCATATCATTAAATATCAATGAGATTCCCACTGAAGCAACCAAATCATCACACAATCAAACAAATGACAACTCTATGCATAAATACACACCTTATGAATGAACGCTATAAACGGATCCAATGGTTTGACTGCAAAGAAAAGTACAATTGAATAAACGGCACAAAACAAGTGAATCAAAAGTGTATAATTGATTGCAAACATTCAGATAGAGCTAATGAATAATCAGTGAAGTCAGAGATCTCGGTGGTAATCGAATCAAGTCTGTCATCATTTATGTTTAACATTGCATTCAATTACACAATAAATGAGCGATAATTACCTCTTTCTGGAAACCATTGAACATAATCTCCTGTTTTTGGTACAAATAAAATGCAGACAATTAATGGTTTGAATGGTAATTGTTTTAATATTGAAAAAACATGTGATGGTCAGTAAGGCTGATACCATCACTCATGAGGTATGGGGTTAGGCATTTGTGAAGTATTAATTAAAATGAGATCAAAAATACCTTAAAAATCACCGGTTTTTGGCCAACAACTCGTGGAATCTGGTAAACAAAATACAGTAATCATTAGTATAATCCATGTATAGCCGGAAAATGGTGATAAAATGGTGGTCAATGGATCAGTTAGGGGCGAAATAGTAGTAATCAATGAAATCAGTTGAACTATAAAATCATCACTAATTGTGGCTATAATTTACGGCAATTCATTATAATAACCAATACTTACGAGTCATTTAAACCTCATTTTCTACACAAAATGGACATCAAATCGTTTTCAACACCTGTTTTAATACAAAAATACATTTCTATTAATAAAAATGTTTAAATTGTTAGAAAAAAGTGATCATTGAATGGATTCAGTGAACACGTGGTGTAAAGACTCGTCATTGGGAGCCCTCAAGAGTAGCAAATAGTAGTCATCATTAGATGTATTAGTTTTGCATTACAATCAATGGCTAATAATAGCAATTAAATTACATATACTTACAAAATAGTCGTTCAAATGGATTACACGTCGAGAAAAACGTGGCATTTGTTTAACCATTTATTTCACGCTATTTTATGCCATTAATTGGACATAACTTTTATCTACAATTTATATTACTTTATAACTTATAATAAATTAATTATTGCCCATAAAATCATTTATAAATTGCAATTATAATCACATTTTTAACTGAATTAAAAGAAATTGAAATAAGTTTCAACCGATTGTTAAGCGCTTTGAATGCAATGTGGATAAGAAATGATTTGAGAGAGACTTCCGTTCAAAAAGGCATTGCATTTGAAAAGACATGCTCTGACAGAGAGACTCTCTCTCTCTCTCTCCACACATAGGATCCCTCTGTTGGCACACATTGTTGTCTCTGTCGGCCAAACCCAGCCTTTTATATAAAAACTTTTGTATGAACTTTACTGTAAGGTTAATAGCATTGGTTTCCAAACCCGGCTTATAATCCCTCTTTCAAACCCAATCTTTAAACTAAATATGATTTAAATATTAGTTGAAAGACAATGCAAAGCATTTCACACTGTTTTGTCACTGTTTGTGTGCTTATGATTATTGTCAACTCATATCATCTAAATACAGTGAAACATGAACTGGGTGAACCATGAGTTGTGTGAACTAAGCATTTGTATGAACCAAATCTAAAAACATAGACTAGTCTCTCATAGACATAATGTTAAAATAACATGATTTGTGTGAACATGATACAGTGAAACATGAACTGGGTGAACCATGAGTTGTGTGAACTAAGCATTTGTATGAACCAAATCTAAAAACATAGACTAGTCTCTCATAGACATAATGTTAAAATAACATGATTTGTGTGAACATGAACTGTGTGAACTAATGATCTGTGTGAACAAATTGTAGCTAAAATTATGTGACATTCAATGCATTTCACAATGAGTTGTGTGAACCACACAAAATAACAAATATATAGCTCAATATAGATGACAGCACTAAATAATTTCGTACACAAAAAGGCTAATAAGTTGTTTATATTCAACAAAACATTAAAACAACAGAAAATTACGACTATAAACTCTTAAAACACTTATAAATTTGTAATTTAAAGCAACATTTATATATTAACCATACTTTTAGTTCATAATGATTTGTGTGAACTAATGATTTGTGTGAACTAAATGGCCAAATTTACCAAGTTCACCCAGTTCATGTTTTACTGTATTTATTTGTGCATATACTTTATGTACTTTATATACTAACTTCGTCGTTGAATATATTGATTATGCCCATAATCATGTTATATTATTATCCTAACAACATGCACTATTGACAAGAACAACAAATTTTTTTTCGCTCAATATAATTGACATTAAAATTACAGTATACATTAATTATTTAACATAAGTTATGTTACATAACACAATGTATATTAAATATTAACAAAATAATTAACAAATTTTGTATATTTTATTTAATATCAAAAATAATTTTGAAATAAATTATATATCTGCACTAGCATAAAATGTTCTAAAATACTAATCATATGTACTGTTACTTTTATTTTGTTTAAAATATAAAACCAACTTTATAATAATAAAATATCATAATAAAAATTAAATCAACAAAGTAAATATTTTATACTTTTATTTTCTAATTCTACAACAAATAGGGTTAAGCCGGAAATGAGACAAAACAAGGTATTCAATAAAAAACACGAGTATGGATGCCATGAGTCCAGCAATACATATGTAGAATATACTTTTCAAATCAATTAAAAGCAGAGTTTTAATGGATTCACTGGGCAGGGGCTGGTCATTCATGTGGTAGATAATTTTCTGAGAACGAGTGGTCCGTTTCCACCAACACCAATATAAACCGCTTTCAACAAATATCTCAATTCTATACAATAAAAATAATTGTAAAATAAGATATTATTTAAGCTATAATATTAAGTGACCAAAATGTTGTAAACATGTCACTCACACGTGGTTCATATGGTTCAACAGGGGTGACCCCTTTTGCAACGCCATACCCATGTGGTCCATCATCAGAGTCTCGGCCGATATATGCATATCAACAGTAGCTGTGCTCCGGACCCCGTGTGCCAGCGATATATGCGTATTGATGAATATAATACCATACCTGTGCCCATACAACCAGTTAGTATAACAATCATTTAATCGTGATTTTAAATCACTATATCCCAAACTATACCTATCATCGCTTCGATCTATGATAAGTTCAATGCCCTGAGCGGTAGTGTCGGGCGCTTTAATGGCCTGTTCAGTGGTCTTAATGGCTTCGCCGATGGTATGATAGGCGCCGCAACACTCGGCCAACGCGAACGTGTCATAATAAGCTGAGTTAGACAGAGTGACGATACCATATTTACCACTCTCGGCCGCACCGACCAAGTCCTGCAGGGTCTCAATCGGGTCCATGTATTCGGGAACAGTTAGTAGTGAATAGAAAATAGCTGAATATGTTTTCATTAAGACCAGAGATGACAGAAACCACATCGAGAAAAATAGACGAATTGACCAATTTGATGATGGTACTTTGATGTCGGCTAGTAAACACAATATAATAGCACAATCAAACTTGATTACACTTGTTTATAGCAAAATATTATAAATGAGATTTACAATTAGGCATAAATACATACACTGTTGTAATAGAGCGGCAATTAATGAGATGGATATGTAATCAACCCGTTTTGGTTTTGTGTCGATCCTATATCTGACATATCTCTTGTACAATAGATGTATGGTTAGAGAAATAGCCACAAATGATATGAACATGGACACCCACACCCACTCGTCAAAAGGCGTTATGGTGATCCATTGGCGCGATTTTAACCCTGGTCGTCTGGTGACAAAAGTCAAGGGTACGAGTATGTATGCGGTGGTAAAGTCGGCCGCTTCCGAGCGCTTACTACTATACGTTAGGTCACACATTGCTATATCCGCTGTCTAGATGTAAAATTTAATTAATTATTGTAATAATTATTGTTTATATAAATAATTAAATACTTTATTATAGAGATGGCCAACACTCCCCCGCCAAACACCATTCTCAAAAGTGCCCCAGCTTTGATTTGCGTAAATGAAATTGTAGTTAAAATTAAACTTTTCTGCTATTGCACCTAGCATAAAAAGTTCGACTGAGTCCCTGGCCGTGTAACCTTCAATATCGTTGTAATTAAAATCGCAATATGGTAATTCCTATTTTACAAAAATAATTGTTAAATGTGTTTTACCAATTTTAGTAAACTTGTTTATTAACAAATAACATTAAATAAATACTGTACAATGTAAATTAGTTATAACTGAAGTATAATTTAAAATCAATTAACCTTGTTCACAGATACTGTGAGGTTAGTATTATTTAAATCACATTTATATGATTTTAGCGCCGGTTTTGCCCACAAATCCCTCGACGGATATATTATACCCTCATATACTCGACAGCCGTCCACAACAGGCCTTACATATACTGTTGTGACGGATGTTAAGTCACCACTATTTGGCACACATATCACGTATGACCGAAACCCCGGTATATTATTATAGAGTTGGCCAACAAAATCATCGCTAATATTATTAATGCACTTAAATAGTATGATCACTATATTATTATACATCGAGGCCAGTTCAGTAAATATTAGTTCACTAATAGCCCAAATTTGGTCAATATTGTCAACAATTAAAAACAAATTATAATGTTTGCTGTTTACCACATGTGCTTTAATGAGAAATGAATCGCTTATATCAGTCGTGTTTAAGTAATAAATTTCAACAAAACACTGATTATTGTGTAAATATTGCAGAATATTCTGGGAATTCTGTGCGGAATATATTAATAGTTTGGTCCGTTGATTATTGGCGCAGATATAGCGTAGAGTTTGATAAAAGTTTTCATTAATGTACAAATAATTAATACAGTGTCCCATTTGTGACCATAAGTTCACACTAATTATTAGTACACTATTTGTTGTACAAAATACACACCATATATAACTTATTATTGATAACTTCATTGTTAAATAATTGTTTGATTTGAATGTAAGAGTAAAGTAAAAATAACTAAACTTTATTTATAGTTATATATTTAGTATAACTTATATTTGTATAAAAATATTTAATCTTAACGTTTAATATTCGTCTGACATTTACAGTCAAAACATTTACTTTTCTGCCAATAAATGTGTATAAATGACATAAAACATGAAAAAGTAACGATACTTTGCATTTTATTACTATATTATTATGGGTTACTGTAATAAATATTACATTATTGTGTTTGAAGGTAATTAAAACAATAAGTAAAGTATTGTACCAAACCGCACTCAAACATTAATTAACGTGATAAATTTACAGTGTATATTCATTATACTGGCATAGCATTTCTAAAATTAGTTTAGTGATTTTATCATTTTAATATCTGTATTTAATATTATATAATATTATAATATAATATTATATAAAGACTTTATTTACAAGTCTCTTATTATTCACAATTATAATCCAATATTATTATAGAATTAATTTAAATTCATTTTAATTTTTACAAGTTATTATAAAGCTGTTTACGTTTAAAGTTATTATTAAGCGTAAAACGATCAACTGATGTACAAAGCTATAAACAAGCTCAATTAATATTTATTTTACTATATTAATAAATCAATAAATAAACTATACATTAAACTATAAACCATAAACTATACTGTAGTTTATTCGTATAATTCATTTATATCGTGTTATTTGTGTATTAAATAAAAGTACAAATGATTTTCAATAATGGCTAACAAGAAAGACTAATTGCTAGATCAATGTTTCGCAAGAAAATAAATATCATACTAAATAATTACTATGCTAAATAAATCAATGTCACTGGGCATTTTGAGTGCATATAGAAAACCATTATATTTTACTATGTTCAAATGAAAATATATATATATTGTATTTGTCAATAATGTTTATATTGTAAAGTTTTGTTTAACTAAAAATATTAAGAATATTCTGCGTTTGATTGATATATACTATAATTATTTGCAAACATTAAAATTTCGATAAAATACTCAGTTATTAATTTTTGAATATGGTGTTATTTATTGTATTAAAACAATTGGTAATTGATGCAAATAATTGTAGAAACTATACCCATTAAAACAAGGAATTTAATCAATTAAATATAATCAAAACTTGCAATTGGCAATACTGTACGTATTTAACTGTAATATCTATCTAGACAACAATGTTTATCTAGATTTCATTATAATTTACGTTTGGTAAATAGCCTATTTAAAATAGGCAAACAACTTGTGTTATTAAAGATAACATATTATTAATTAGTATTTTTATTTTATTTATAGTTAAATAAATCAAGTTTTAGTAAAATATTTTATGAATTACATATATTAATACATACATAAATTATACAGTATATAGTAATGCACTTAAAGATTTGTAATAGTGAGAGAAAGAAAGAAAGAAAGAAAGAGAGAGAGAGAGAGAGAGA